TTTGCATCTGAACTCTTCATATATATATATATGTGTATATGTGTGTATATAAATGTGCTCTTAATATGTAGTAATTGTAGGCATCTCGTCTCGTGCACTGTCTTGCCCATTCCTGAGGTTAATAGGTTAATAAAGTCAGATAAATAACAGTGCCTCAGCCACTTCTCAACACTTTCATTTACACAATATAAATATTGTTTTTAATATATGAGTTATGAGTGTTACATTTCATAGTCTGAGTTCTCAAATGCCTACGTAAACTCAAGAGCCGTTAGAATTTTTTCAATTTAAACTTAAAGAGTAACTAAACACTAAACCAGCTTTTTTTTTAGTTAATGATCTGTAAGAATGGATCTTTATTAATACCAGAGAATGTCTCCACTGGCTGGTTGCTTCCGGGTTCTGGACTGGCTGCAGTAACGCGTCTCTGTCCATGCGGGGGCGCTCGCGGTCGAGTGCAGAATGAATGGGAGTCAATGGGGTTTCACCCCCAGAAATCCACTTTTCTCAGGATGTAATTTTGTCAAGTAATTTGAAAGTTGCATTCAAAAGGGAGGCTAGATAATACACACTTTTAAGCACTTATCTGTTCTAAAAATCCATTCAAAAATGTGATGACGTCACACAATAGCAGAATGCTAGCGCGTTCCAGCAACAACGGCCTAACCTGTAAGAAATCGAAAGGACATAAGTACTCGTTCATTCGACTTTTGGCCTATAATCTATATTGAACTTGCGGAATCAAAATAAATCTATGTAATTTAACGACAAGCAGGTGGAAGAGACACTTTTAGCCGTTTAGCCCCATAGACTCCCATTCATTCTGCTCTCGCCCGATCACCTCCAGTGGATTCTAATGGAACTGCAACCAAGATGATGCACAACGGGGCTAAATAGGAAGTGCCAATGCTCTCCGTTAGACGGGCTCTGTTATACCAGTCATTGATTCGAGTGTTTTATTTCTACAATGTATGATGTAAATCGTCTTAGTGCTGCCCTCTTCAGGTGAACGGTGGCTACTGCAGTTGAATTTTCCTATTGGATGTTCCGCACTTCGTGACGTACGCAGGTTTCAGCTCACCACACCCTTGGCAGTATAAAAACTATGTTGTGTCGTCAAAACCACTGTAGGGCGTCAGAATTGGAATTGTGAGTATTGAAAACGATCAGGATAGAGTGTTTTAGCGTCTATTTCGTCCCCTCTATCTCCGCTGGGGTCTGCCCACTTTTTCAGCATTTTCAAATATTGCCAGTGGGTGGAGTCAGGCTCTGACCAGGGGTTTAGTTACCCTTAATCTCTTCCTTCTCTCTGGTTGGCTCAGGTGACGTGGTACTCAATGACAGTTGGGGATCTTCACTCTCCACTTCCTGTGAAGTGATGTATCGATGTTCCCTACGCTGTTTGCAGTGCCTCGAACTGAACATGTTCGTTCCCTTCGATTGAATCTCACT